TCTCTCCTTGATTAGTTTCCACCCATTGCTTCTTGTCCTACCCTCAGGTGCTTTGGAGAATAGTTTGACTCGCTCTTTTTTGTGGCAGCCCCTGAGATATTGGAACACTGCTATCATGTCTCCCCTAGTCCTTCTTTTAATTAAACTACACATACCCAGTTCCTGCAACCGTTCTTCATGTTTTAGCCTCCAGTCCCCTAATCATCTTTGTTGCTCTTCTCTGCACTCTTTCTAGAGTCTCAACATCTTTTTTACATTGTGACGACCAAAACTGAATGCAATATTCCAAGTGTGGCCTTACCAAGGCATTATAAAGTGGTATTAACAATTCATGTGATCTTGATTCTATCTCTCTGTTAATGCAGCCTAGAACTGTTTTGGCTTTTTTGGCAGCTGCTGCACACGGCTGGCTCATATCTAAATGGTTGTCCACCAGGATTCCAAGATCCCTCTCATAGTTACTATTATTGAGCACATATACGGTACCTGTGCATTTTGTTTTTCTTGCCTAAATGTAGAACCTTGCTTTTTTCACTATTGAATTTCATTTTGTTAGATAGCGCCCAATGTTCAAGTCTGTCAAGATCCTTCTGTATCTTGAGCCTATCTTCTGCAGTGTTGGCTATTCCTGCTAACTTGGTGTCATCTGCAAATTTGATGAGTTCCCCATCTATCCCCTCGTCCAAGTCATTGATGAAGATGTTGAAGAGCACTGGGCCTTAATCATGCAGTGAAGAGAATTTTATGCATGTTTAGCAAGTAACTACACAAATTATTTAAGTTACCTTGATATTATGGCAAACCATAAAAAGACAAAAATATGGCTGTAATGCTTGAAAAATATATTTTGCCCATGCATTTGTTTCAGCTTCTGTTCATTCTGGCCCCTTGCTTGAAAGACAAATTGTTCACCCTGAAGCTTTTCCCATACTCTACATTGACGTCTGTCATTATTCCATCACATTATAAGAGGTCTTTGACCGAAAAAGGTTCCCTGCTTCTACATTCATACTGGTTGACTCAGATCTTAATTTGACAAAGCATACGCAGTGGTGGGTTTCAAATTTTTTTACTACTGGTTCTGTGGGTGTGGCTTGGTGAGTGTGGCAGGAAAAGGATACTGTATTTATTCAATCATTCATTTATTTGTTCAATTTGTATGCTGCCTTTCTCCGAAGACTCAAAGCGGCTTACAATGCATTTAAAAACCATATATAAAAACATTAAACATTAAAACATTAAAAACAATTAAAACCCATTCACACCATTCATGGCCGGATCTCGCCAGATCGCAACAGCGAGATCAACGGCCCCAGGCCTGCCGGAAAAGCCAGGTCTTCTTCGCTTTCCGGAAGGCCAATAGGGTGGGGATGGTCCAGATCTCAGGAGGTAACTGGTTCCAGAGAGCTGGGGCAGGCACAGAGAAGGCCCTCCCCTGCGAGCCTGCCAGCCGGCATTGTTTAGCTGATGGGACCTGGAGGAGACCAACTCTGTGGGATCTTACCGGTCGCTGGGAGCTATGCGGTAGAAGGCGATCTTGAAGATTACCTGGCCCTGAGCCATGTAGGGCTTTAAAGGTAATAACCAACACCTTGAATTGTGACCGGAGACCAATAGGGAGCCAGTGCAGCTCACGGAGAATTGGTGTAATGTGGGTGTACCTAGGTGCACCCACGACAGCTCGCACGGCTGCATTCTGGACCAACTGTAGTCTTCGAACACTTTCCAAGTGTAGCCCCATGTAGAGCGTGTTGCAATAATCTAATCGTGAGGTGACAAGGGCATGAGTGACTGTGAGGAGAGCCTCCTGATCCAAGTAGGGTCGCAATTGGTGCACCAGGAGAACCTGTGCAAAGGTCCCCCTAGCCACAGCTGACATGTTGTTCTAATCTTAGCTGTGAGTCTAGGAGGACACCCAAATTGCAAGCCCGTTCTGAGGGGGACAATTTCTCTCCCCCCTACCCCAGAACCAAGGATGGACAATCAACATAGTCTTTAGGAGGCAATTCCCACAGCCACTCGGTCTTATCTGGATTAAGTCTGAGCCTGTTGACTCCCATCCAGACCCTCATGGCCTCCAGGCACCAGCACATCACATCCACCATCTCACTGAATTGATGCGGAGTAGAGATAGACAGCTGGGTATCATCAGCGTATTGCTGATACCTCACCCCGTATCATTGGATGAGCTCACCCAGCAGCTTCATGTAGATGTTAAATAGGAGGGAAGAGAGGACCGAGCCCTGAGGCACCCTGCAAACAAGGGGCCTAGGGGTTAACCTCTGTCTTCCTACCAACACCGACTGTGACCGACCAGAGAGATAGGAGGGGAACCACCATAACACAGTGCCTCCCACTCCCAACTCCCTTAGTTATCCCAGAAGGATACAATGGTCAATGGTATCAAAAGCTGCTGAGAGGTCAAGTAGCACCAAGATGGAGGAATGACCCCCATCTCAGGCTCGCCGGAGATCATCCATCAGCTTGACCATGGCAGTTTCCGTGCTGTAGCCAGGTCTGAAGCCAGACTGAAAAGGGTCTAGATAATCCGTTTCCTCCTATGACCGCAGGAGCTGAAGTGCCACCACTTTCTCTACAACCTTTCCCACAAAGGGTAGGTTGAAGACTGGACGAAAGTTCTTTAATTCTACTGTAGAATCTCCCATTCCCTCCCCACTCCAGGGAAAGGTTACTGCAAAATCCCCATTTCCTCCTGATCAGCTGGGACTTGGGAGGCAGAGAATAGATAGGGGCGGAGCCAGTCAGGTGGTATTTACCAGTTTTCCAAACTACTCAAATTTTCCACTATTGGTTCTCCAGAACTGGTCAGAACCTGCTGAAACCCACCTGTGCTCTGAGGTTGGTTGGTGCACTGATGATCTTCCCTAGTTTGGCTAATGAAAGGTCTGCAACAACACAATCAAGCTCAGAGACCACCAAGGACCCCTCATTTCAACCGTGAGCTACACATTTTCTCCTTTGTTGGCAGGCTGGATTATTTTTGGTATCTTAATATTCCAGAGATTGTTCCTATTTGCATTTCTGCATGATTCATCCGGAAGGACTGAAGTAAATTTTTTTAAGTCGTTCTTAATTTCATGATATTTTGGACTTCGTTGCTTTCCAAAGATCTTTCTTCTTGATTGATGATTTGCAATGTTAGCTTGTAACTTCAAATGGTTACTTAATAAATTATTGTAAATCAGGAACTGCTTGGGTTGGCCAGTAGGCTGCCTAGCTATGAGAACTTAATATGCACCCACATTTCTCTACCACTGCTTTTCCTTAATAAAACTACTTGTCATGATTCCAAGTAATAGTCCCAACCAATTCAAGACTCTGAGGCCTTGGCTTCCTCAAAAATCCGGTTTATTGGGTACATCATATCTGCACAGTCAAAGGTGAAAGCAAAATTAAATAATTCCCGCATTTTGGGTATAAGTAAAAAATAGATACTGTCCAGCCCCCTCGTGTCCCAGGTCACGTTCGCCAAGGAAGCAGATGATGAACTTCTCAGCATTCCCTCCTGCCATTGTTGGGCATGCTGATTTGGCCTTGGTTCTCAGGAGCCTTATCATTGTTATATCCGGCACATTGGAGGAAAACATTCTACATTCCACAAATTCCCCCTCCCCCCACCCCTAAGTATGGCAACTAAGAAACAAAGCAAGAAAAATATGGCTTCAGCTCGAGTCGTTTTGAGAGTTGACACTACTTGCTTTAAGGCTCTCTCTGTGGAGGAAGGTTGGAATAGACACAAAGATATTTACACAATGCTAGAACTGTTTTAATAAATGAGTTCAAGCAGCACTTTTTAAAACAACTATGTGAAAAAAGTTACACTGGCACTGAAATAATGATAAAAAAGTAAACAGTGTGGCCAGGAAGTTGTAAAGGCAAACAACATTCTGAGATGCATCACCAGAGGTATCACCATCAGCAAAAAGGAGCTCCTATCCCTCTACATAGGGCTTTACTGAGACTCCATTAGGAATACTGTGTCCAGTTCTGGAGACCTCACTTTAAAAAAGGTATTGATAAGATTGTGTGGCAAGGAAAGATCACCACAAAAGTAGGATACACAGCCTATGAGTTGGATTTTCCAATTCAGCATCACTATAACCCCGTTTTCCTTATGTTTTTTTTCTGTTATCACTTGCATAAAGTGAAACGGTGGAAAGGCAGGCTGTGATAATAGTAAGCGAAGTAAGCATCAGAGGGAGTTACTTGAAATGTACCACTTAAATATTGGCATCCACACATCACTTTGAGGGCAAATGATAATCATAATCTGCACTGAGACTCATCTTTCTTTTAAAACCTCATACTTCGCAAAAAAGCACCAGAATGGATTGAGGATTCAAAATCAGAATAGAGCTGGAAGGGAACTTGGAGCTCTTCTAGTCCAGCCTCCTGATCAAGCAGGAGATCCTATATCATTTCAGACAAGTGACTGTCCAGTCTCTTCTTAAAAATGTCCAGTGAGGAAGCACCCACGCTATCTGAAGGCAAACTGTTTCACTGGTGAATTAACCTCACTGTAAGAAAGTTCCAAGTTGCTTCACTCCTTGATTAGTTTCCATCCATTGTAAGAATATCTTACCTTCTGGTGGTTTGGGGAAAAAATTAGATATTAGATTAACAGAGTTGGAACGGACCTTTTAGTTCATCTCGTCCAACCCCCTGCCCAAGTAGGAGACCCTACACAATTGGCAGTCCAATCTCTTCTTCAAAGCTTCCAGTGATGAAGCTCTCACAACTTCTGAAGGCAAGCAATTCCATTGGTACCATTAATTCTGACAGGGTCATGGTTGATTCAGCTTTCATCCTTCTCTGGTGTGTAAAATGAGGACCCAGATTCCTGGGGAGCATATGCTGACTTTGTAAACTGCTCAGAGAGTGTTGTAAAGCATTGTGAAATAGTATATAAGTCTAAGTGGAATTAGAATTGCTTAACAGTTTCTCCCGAGCGTGGATCCTTTTATGAGAAGTAAGATTACCTTTTTGAGCAAACGTCTTTTCACACTCCATGCATTTATACGGCTTCTCCCCTGTGTGGATCCTCTTATGGGAAATAAGATGACCTCTTTGAGCAAAGGTCTTTCCGCATTCCATGCATTTATATGGCTTCTCCCCTGTGTGGATCCTCTTATGGGAAATAAGACTACTTCTTCGAGCAAAGGTTTTTCCACACTCCATACACTTAAATGGCTTTTCCCCTGTGTGGATCATTTTGTGGGTAGTAAGTCCCTTGCTATAAGCAAAGGTTTTTCCACACTCCATGCATTTATATGGCTTCTCCCCTGTGTGGATCCTCTTATGGGAAATAAGACTACTCCTTTGAGCAAAGGTTTTTCCACACTCCATGCATTTAAATGGCTTTTCCCCTGTGTGGATCATTTTGTGGATAGTAAGTCCCTTACTATAAGCAAAGGACTTTCCACACTCCATGCACTTAAATGGCTTTTCCCCTGTGTGGATCATTTTGTGGATATTAAGTCCCTTACTATAAGCAAAGGACTTTCCACACTCCATGCATTTAAACGGCATTTCCCCTGTATGGATCATTTTGTGGATAGTAAGTCCATTACTATAAGCAAAGGACTTTCCACACTCCATGCATTTAAATGGCTTTCCCCCTGTGTGAATCATTTTGTGGATAGTAAATCCATTACTATAAGCAAAGGTCTTTCCACATTCCATGCATTTGTACGGCTTCTCCCCTGTGTGGCGCCTTTCATGTACTCTTAGGACACTGCTCTGAGCAAAGGACTTTCCACACTCCAAGCATTTATACGGTTTCTCCCCTGTGTGGATACTCTTATGGGAAATAAGATAATTTCTTCGAGCAAAGGTCTTTCCACATTCCATGCATTTATATGGCTTCTCCCCTGTGTGGATCCTCTTATGGTGAACAAGATGAACTCTTTGAGCAAAGGTTTTTCCACACTCCATGCACTTAAATGGCTTTTCCCCTGTGTGGATCATTTTGTGGATAGTAAGTCCCTTGCTATAAGCAAAGGACTTTCCACACTCCATGCATTTAAATGGCTTTTCCTCTGTGTGGATCATTTTATGGATAGTAAGTCTCTTACTATAAGCAAAGGACTTTCCACACTCCATGCATTTAAATGGCTTTTCCTCTGTGTGGATCGTTTTGTGGATAGTAAGTCCATTACTATAAGCAAAGGACTTTCCACACTCCATGCACTGAAATGGCTTTTCCCCTGTGTGGATCATTTTGTGGCTAGTAAGTCCATTACTAGAAGCAAAGGTCTTTCCACATTCCATGCATTTATACGGCTTCTCCCCTGTGTGGCGCCTTTCATGTACTCTTAGGACACTGCTGTGAGCAAAGGTCTTTCCACACTCCACGCATTTAAATGGCTTTTCCCCTGTGTGGATCCTCTTATGGGAAATAAGATGACCTCTTTGAGCAAAGGTTTTTCCACACTCCATGCATTTAAATGGCTTTTCTCCTGTGTGGATCATTTTGTGGACAGTAAGTCCATTACTATAAGCAAAGGTCTTTCCACACTCCATGCATTGAAATGGCTTTTCCCCTGTGTGGATCATTTTGTGGATAGTAAGTCCATTACTAGAAGCAAAGGTCTTTCCACATTCCATGCATTTATACAGCTTCTCCTCTGTGTGGCGCCTTTCATGTACTCTTAGGACACTGCTCTGAGCAAAGGTCTTTCCACACTCCATGCATTTAAATGGCTTTTCCCCTGTGTGGATCCTCTTATGGGAAAAAAGATGACCACTTTGAGCAAAGGTTTTTCCGCACTCCATGCATTTATACGGCTTCTCCCCTGTGTGGATCCTCTTATGGGAAATAAGACTACTTCTACGAGCAAAAGTTTTTTTGCACTCCATGCATTTATACGGCTTCTCCCCTGTGTGGATCCTCTTATGGGAAATAAGATGACCTCTTTGAGCAAAGGTCTTTCCGCACTCCATGCATTTATATGGCTTCTCCCCTGTGTGGACCCTCTTATGGGAAATAAGACTACTCCTTTGAGCAAAGGTTTTTCCACACTCCATGCATTTGAATGGCTTTTCCCCTGTGTGGATCATTTTGTGGGTAGTAAGTCCATTGCTATAAGCAAAGGTTTTTCCACACTCCATGCATTTGAATGGCTTTTCCTCTGTGTGGATCGTTCTGTGGATAGTAAGTCCACTACTATAAGGAAAGGACTTTCCACACTCCATACACTGAAATGGCTTTTCCCCTGTGTGGATCATTTTGTGGCTAGTAAGTCCATTACTAGAAGCAAAGGTCTTTCCACATTCCATGCATTTATACGGCTTCTCCCCTGTGTGGCGCCTTTCATGTACTCTTAGGACACTGCTGTGAGCAAAGGTCTTTCCACACTCCACGCATTTAAATGGCTTTTCCCCTGTGTGGATCCTCTTATGGGAAATAAGATGACCTCTTTGAGCAAAGGTTTTTCCACACTCCATGCATTTAAATGGCTTTTCTCCTGTGTGGATCATTTTGTGGACAGTAAGTCCATTACTATAAGCAAAGGTCTTTCCACACTCCATGCATTGAAATGGCTTTTTCCCTGTGTGGATCATTTTGTGGATAGTAAGTCCATTACTAGAAGCAAAGGTCTTTCCACATTCCATGCATTTATACAGCGTCTCCTCTGTGTGGCGCCTTTCATGTACTCTTAGGACACTGCTCTTAGCAAAGGTCTTTCCACACTCCATGCATTTAAATGGCTTTTCCCCTGTGTGGATCCTCTTATGGGAAAAAAGATTACCACTTTGAGCAAAGGTTTTTCCACACTCCATGCATTTATACGGCTTCTCCCCTGTGTGGATCCTCTTATGGGAAATAAGACTACTTCTACGAGCAAAAGTTTTTTTGCACTCCATGCATTTATACGGCTTCTCCCCTGTGTGGATCATTTTGTGGGAAATAAGATGACCTCTTTGACCAAACGTCTTTCCGCACTCCATGCATTTATATGACTTCTCCCCTGTGTGGACCCTCTTATGGGAAATAAGACTACTCCTTTGAGCAAAGGTTTTTCCACACTCCATGCATTTAAATGGCTTTTCCCCTGTGTGGTTCATTTTGTGGGTAGTAAGTCCCTTGCTATAAGCAAAGGTTTTTCCACACTCCATGCATTTGAATGGCTTTTCCCCTGCGTGGATTCTTTTAGGGGAAATAAGATTACTACATCTTCTGAACCGGTTACCAGACTCTCTGCATTTGTATAGCTTCTCCCCAGTGTGAATCCCTTCGTGGGAAGTAAGTTGCCTGCTTGTTCTAAAACATGTTCCACATTCCAAACATTTGTAAGGCTTCTCTTTTGTGTCAATCACCGATTGAGATGTAAGGAACTTATTTCCAAGAAAAGGAATGAATGTCCCATTGTAACTTTGTCCGTTGTGTCTTCTTATAGCATCTTCTCCTTTGTTTTGGCTTATATAGTGTTCTTTTACTTGTAATTTAGCTTTGATTGGCTTCACACTTTCCCCAATATATTTTTTCCTTATTTTCTCCTGTTGGGCAAGAAAGTCTTGCATCGGAGCATCAGTGGAAGATGAGTTTCCCTGATTCCAATTATTCGACTGGTTTCTGTCATGGTTTCCGTATTCCATTCGAATTCCAAACTTCTCCGTTCCAGCTTTAGCATTGATCACTTGGAACAGTTCACCAAAATCTTGATTCTCCTGACCATTATTACCTTCAAAGCAAAAGAGAAACGATAACAAGGTTAGAGAAAAAGATCAAAACCGTACAAAGTCAAGTGAATTTCCTTCTGAATTTTTCCAAAATTCCTTTAAGTTTTATGTTTGCATGGTTAAATTATGGCCATTGATTTAATTATTTTAATTTATCTTCTTAAATTTTGGGTTGTCATAGTTATTATCATGGCTGTACACTGCCCTGAGTCCTTCGGGAGAAGAGTGGTATAAAAATCACCCAAACAAATAAATAAATAAATAAATACAGTGATGTGATATAGACAGGATGATATTTATATTCCTGAGTCCTGAAAGCTTTGAAAATATCTAGAAAACATCTCTTTCTTTCAATTATCTATATATGTGCAAATCTCAATCAAAGTCTGTTTTGAATCCTGGAATAATCAGGGGAAACACCCAAAGAGGAATAAGGAAAAAAATTAAGATGTATTGAGGTGGGTTAATTTCAGCAGAGACCTGTGAGAACTGAAACAATTTTGAAAAAAGCTCCTTCTTCCCCGGTGTACCTTGGAGCAGCTATTGCAGGGCGTCTGTCTGGCAGGCAGGACTCCCGCTCGGCCCATTCCTTGATCCCAACGATGAAACTTTGGAGCGAAATCCCTTCCCTGAAGCCTCCCATTGGCTTGTAAATGCTCTTTGCACTGAGACTGGAAAGGTTGGGAGGCTTCAAGAATGGCTATTTTGCTGCCCCAAAGTCTCATCAGCTTGCGAGGGCTTTTTGGCTGGATCTGATACAGGCTTTAGTTTTCAGAGAACATAGCCCTAAAACTACTTTAGTGCGAGATCACACAAAACGAGAAGTGTAGTGCAAGTTCATGTGAGATCAGTAGTGCCAGATTTCCCACTATTGATGTCAGGTATCTCTCACTACTTTAGGCCTCTTTTTTCTGCAAATGCACCCAAGCAGGCAAAAGAACCGATTTCCTCGCTACATCCTCGTAACTTAAGTCCGAGCAGGGTGCGGTGGGGATACAGGTAGGATGATTGTTGTTGCAATGCCTCTGTTGTCATTTGTAAGTGTGAATGACGGCCGTGGTGTTGTAATATTTGTAATTTCAGGACCGCCTCTTAAGTACTTGGGAGATGGCTAGGTCGTAACTTGAAACAGTTGCTTAGTGAACTGTCGTAACTCAGGGATCACCTGTATCCTAGGATGCTCTGAGTCACATTGCATGAGGCCTTTGTTCTTCAATTGGATTGGGAGAATGCTCTTCCATGGTCTGAGAGTGAAAGTTCTGTTCCCACACAATTTGGGGAGGTTTCAGAGGACAAATGACAACACATTTTTGTCACATGATCTCCAGAGGACAGATAAAAGCACACCCCATTCTTCTCAGCCTCCACAGATAAGTTCAAATAGAAATGGAAAAATACAGATAAGGAATGCCCCAAAAGTATCTCAGCAAAGAGACACTGACTCTTTCCTTCCTTGGGGTACGAGAAGGCCAGATACTTTCCTTTTCCCTCCCGGGAGACAATATCTGATTAGTGATTTTTTAATAAAAACTATCTATCATCTGTTTCTGATTTGGGACAAGAAAACTTCTGGTTGGCTCCGTGCGCGTCGCAGACGCTCCTCCGTGAGCGCCCGATCCCCGGTATCGTAAAAGCCGCCAGAACAGCCGAAAAACAGCTGTCTGGCGACTTGGAAACTTTCTCCCCGGGTAAAGGGGAGAGAGGAGAGCTGACAGGTGAAGGTAGAGCTCCGCAAGTGCCCTAGGAGAAATTCTGGGGCACGAAGGGCGAGAGCTCCCTAGAAGCCTGTCAGTCTGCTACGGACCTGGGACAACTCTGCTAATTAGCGGAGCAAGGTGCCGCGACCAATTCTGCCAATAACAACTGAGGGGATCTCCAGCATCCTATATTTCTGCAGGCAGAACAAGCCAGGAGAAGTCAGACTGCAAGTATCTAAACTTAACTCCATTGTTCATTACCTCCTTCGGAAATAACAACTTAGCAAACTTGTAACAAGATGGCGATTGAGGCTTGAAAGGGTGTGGAAAGTGAAAGTTACAGGAAAGTTTCGTTTCGCTGACAGCCTCTTGCTTGGAAAAAAATTTGTACTGAGAGAAGGAGGATTCTAAGACATCAATTTAAGACTGGAAAATTTTTGATTTGGTTGAACTCTTTCTTTTTGGCTTCTGATTAAAATACAAAGATTAACTTAAACTGAAAAATGGCCTCAAAACCTGTAAAGACTGTTCCTATTAAAGGAACTGGGAGTGCCGGAAGCTCTCCAGCTCATACTTCTAGAATGCAAGCCTCTGTTCCCCCAACAGATCCACAGACTTTAACATTTGAAATGCTACAAGAAGCCCTAAAAGTTACACAGGATAAAATTGCTACTGTGATTAATGAAAAAAGTAATGAAACTAATGAAAAAATACAGACTGTTTCAGATGAGATTAGGGATGATATAATACTGGCATTTAAAGGTTTGGCAGGCAACATTGAAATTTTGGATGATAAGGTTGAAGAAATTAAGCAATTTACTGAAATTTTGGACAATAAATTAGGAGAGACTCAGAACAAAATTGAAAGGGCTGAAGCTGATGTAACAATGATTCAATACAAAGATATGGAATTTGCTCTAAGAATAAGAGGGGTGAAGGAGAACAAACAAGAGAATTTGAAAGAGATGATGTCAGAAGCACTGGCACAGATGTTGGGGGAGCAGAAAGTGGAGTTAGGCTGGCAGATATATTGCATCAATTTGTGGGTGGCCAGACAGAAACATTTACCAAGAGACATTGTAATATACTTTACCACAAGGAGACTACGTAATGAAATTTTACAGGCTACCTTTAATAAGAAGCTTCAAGTTGAAGGCCAGGAGGTGATGACAATGAAAGAAATCCCCCCCAAAATGTTGAGAGTCAGAAGGGAATATGTCTTCCTGGTGGATGAACTGAGAAAATGCCAGATACAGTATAGATGGGAAGTGCCAGCCGGCCTAGTGGTGAACTATTCGGGTGAGAGATACCAGCTTAATACAGTATGGAAAGCAAGAGATTTCTATGCCAACGTGTTAAAGGCTGGGCCACCAAAATCACCAGAAGTTAAAAGAAAAAAGGAAGTAATGGAAGGAGAGAGAGAAGAGTTGATGACAGTAGTCCAGGGGGGAGCCTCGACCAATCAAGAAGATTTGCTACAAATCCAGATTGCTGATTTAATTGATATACCAGAAGAACCAAAGGATCAAAGACAGACCAGAGCAGCAACAGCTAAACGCAAGGAAGAATTAAGACAGCAACAACTCCAGATGGCAACTCAAGGAACTACAAAAACAGAAGCAGTGGGAGGAGCTAGACCTAAAAGTCAAATGAGGCAAGACCATCAGCAAATGCTCCAAAAGCTTCAGAGGCCCAAACATGGGAACTAGATTTCTAACTTGGAATGTTAATGGTTTGAATTCTTCACAGAAGAGGAGAAAAATATTTCACTATCTTAAACAATTTAAAAATGATGTAATTTGTTTACAAGAGACTCATATTAGGATACAAGATCAAAAATATTTAATGAATACAAGATTAGGTACACATTATGTAGCGGCAGCACCAGAGAAGAAAAATGGTATAGTTATATATCTGAAAAGAGACTTAATTGCTAAATTAATTGAAGCAGATGATCAAGGAAGATTCTTAGTGATTGAACTTTTAATAAAGGGAGAAAAATTACTTTTAATTGGAGTATATGCCCCGAACCAACAACAGGAAAAATTTTATAATTTCCTACATTCTAAGTGGGGATATAAAACTTGTATCCTACTGGGTGATTGGAATGGTGTTTTGGATGTTAAAAAGGACAAGAAGGGACCTAAGCAAAATGTCTCAGCAAAAGCAAGACTGCCCAAATCGTTTTTGGAGATCATGGATGATTGGGAGTTGAGGGATATTTGGCGTGAAAGAAACCCAGAAGAAAAAGATTTTACTTTCTTTTCGGATAGATATCAATCCTTTTCAAGGATTGATTTTATACTAATTACTAACGACCTCTTTTCCAGGGTGAAGAATACGAAGATTTGTTCAAGAACACTGACAGACCATAGTCCAGTCTGGATGGAACTGGAATATGGAAAGGGGCTTAGGAGGTCCTGGAGGTTAAACAATAATTTGTTTAGATATGAAGAAAATGTTAAAGAGTGTAAAAAATTTATGAAAGAATTTTTCGTTACGAATATGCAAAAGGGTACATCGATGGAAATGGTGTGGGATGCAAGTAAAGCATATATGCGAGGTATTTTGATATATTTGAATAATAAGTACAAAAAAAAACAGGGCGGAAAAAAGAAAGGAATTAGAAGAAGAGATTAAAAAACAAGAACGAGTGTTTAGTTAATCCAACAGGTAAGAAAATTAAAGAGGCAATTAATTTACTGAAAGGTCAATTTAATATGTTAATAGCAGATCAAGTGGCAACTAATTTACAATATGCTAAACAATACTTTTTGTAATGCCAATAAACCTGGTAGATGGTTAGCATATTTGTTAAGGAAAAAGCAGAAATCAAGAACTATAGAGAAAATAAAATACAAAGGTAAAGAGGTTTATGAGCAAGAATTGATTAAAAAATCTTTCTTAGAGTTTTACTCAAGGCTGTATACTGGTGATAAAATTCAAGATATAGATAGATATTTGCAGAAAGAGAATATTTATATAACTTCAAAAGAGCAGAGGGATAGTTTAAATCAATTGATAACTTCCGAGGAAATTTTGTTTGCAATTAAGCAGTTGAAAGTGGGTAAAGCTCCTAGGACGGATGATTTGACAGCTGTTTATTATAAAAGTTTACAGGAGGAAATAGTGGAACCACTGAAGGAATTATTTAACAATATACAACAGGGAGGAGAGGTACCTCCAACTTGGAAGACAGCTTTTATTTCTTTGATCCCAAAAGAGGGTCAAGATCATACAGATCCAAAAAACTACAGGCTGATTTCACTTTTAAATACAGATTATAAGATTTTTGCTAAAATATTAGCAAATAGATTAATGACAGTTATGCAGCAAATGATTCATCATGATCAAACTGGTTTTATAAATGGTAGACAAATGAAAAGTAATGTAAGGCAAATTGTTAATTTACTAGAGTATTTGGGGAGGAACAACCAGGTCCCCACAGTGCTAGTATTTTTGGATGCGGAGAAAGCCTTTGATAGATTGAATTGGCATTTTCTATTGAAATTAATAGAAAGGATGCAACTTGGAGAATATTTTATACAATCTATTAAGGCAATATATATCAGAAACAAACAGTGCAAATAATAATCAATGGTGGTTTAACAGATATTTTTAATATAGAAAAAGGAACAAGGCAAGATTGTCCCTTGTCTCCATTGTTGTTTATTTTGACGCTGGAAATTTTACTGAGTAAAATATGTGGGACAGATACAATAAAGGGAATTAAAATTAGACAGCATGAGTATAAGTTACAAGCATTTGCGGATGACCTGGTTGTTACCTTAGCCCAACCAGCACAATCAATTACAGCCTTGATGGATATAATTAACCCATATGGACAAGTATCTGGTTTTAAAATAAATACAGCTAAAACAAAGATAATAGCTAAAAATATGACTAAAAGCCAAAAAGAAGAGATAGAAAGGGTAACAGGATTTGAGATAGTAAAGAAGGTTAAATATTTAGGGGTTTATATTATGACTACAAATATGAAACTATACCAGCACAATTATGAACCGTTGTGGCAAAAAATACAGAAAGAGATGGAAAAGTGGAAAAAATTACAATTGTCTTTGCTGGGAAGGATAGCGGCAGTAAAAATGAATGTCTTACCAAGGTTTTTATTTCTTTTTCAAATGATACCTATACTTAAAAAAGATGAAAATTTGAAGGAATGGCACAAGGGCATAAATAAGTTTGTGTGGGCAGGGAAGAAACCGAGAGTAAATCAAAAGATAATGCAAGATACACGAGAAAGAGGAGGTCTTAAAATGCCCAATTTAAGATTGTATTATGAAGCCGCTGCTCTCTCAGCAGTTACTGATTGGATAAATTTAACGGAGGAAAGGATATTAAACATTGAGGGATATGGTCTGGTCTACGGCTGGCATGCTTATTTATTGTATGATAAGAAAATAGATAAGACTTTTAAAAGTCATATATTAAGGAATGCTTTATTGCGTGTCTGGAAGAAGTATCAATACAAATTAAACGATAAGTTACCAATATGGACAGTACCCAGACACGCGATAGAGAATATAAATGTGGAGCAAAAACAAGATAAGATTACATATAAGGAACTCCTTCATAAAGAAGGAATTAGACTACAACTAAAATCTATGGAACAATTAAAAGAAGAAGGAATAATTAGAACTTGGTTTCAGTATGGACAGCTGCAGGCCAGATGGGGAGAAGATCAGAAAATTGGTATTTTGCAACAGGATGAGAACTTGATAAAACAAATAAGAGACAAAAGTCAAATGCACATAAAAAGGTTGTATAATGTATTAGTGGAAATAGATTCAGAAACAGAGCTAGTCAAGGATTGTATGATAAAATGGGCACAAAATATAAGAGAACCAATAATGATGGAAACATGGGAAAAGATATGGGTTAGAAATGTAAGATTTACACAGGCCCAAAATTTAAGAGAGAACTTTTATAAAATGTTTTATAGATGGCATTTAGATCCAAAAAAACTAGCCTGTATGTATCCAAATTTACAACCTAAATGTTGGCGATGTGAGTGTGAAGATGCTACGTATTTTCATATATGGTGGACATGTAAAAAAATTAAGGCTTTTTTTTTTTTTAATTCGATTTATATGCCGCCCTTCTCCGAAGACTCAGGTCGGCTTACAATGTGCTCAGCAATAGCCTTCATCCTTTTGTATATTTATATAAAGTCAGCTTATTGCCCCCACAACTGGGTCCTCAATTTACCTACCTTAGAAAGGATGGAAGGCTGAGTCAACCTTGAGCCTTGGCGAGATTCGAACCCTGCAGTAATTGCAGGCAGCTGGTCTTAATAACCAGCTTAATAACAGGGTGCCTTAAACCCCTGTACTACCAAGGCTCTATTTTTGGATAAAAATATGGTGGATTATTCAAAATATTTTAAAGAAAAAGATCAAATTTACACCACAGTTTTTTTTGTTGGGAATAGTTACGGATTGTACAGTGACAGAGACTAAGTTGGTTTTAAATTTAATAACAGCAGCCAGGTTACTGGTGGCACAGCATTCCTACTATTGAGGAATGGACACTAAAAGTTGCGTATTTGGAAGAGATGGCGAAAATTTCATCATATCTTAAAGATCACTCAAACGAAAGATATATATCGGAATGGAGAAGATGGATTGACTATATTCAGAACAAGTATCAGACTAAGAAGTTTCATATAGCTTATGAATGAAACATTTTTAATTTTTAGTTTATGTTTATAGTGTTTTGAGTTATAAGGAGTTAAAGACCTAGGGAGAATTTGAAGTTAACAAATTGTTAGCATATTTTAGTTTTATGTTTGTGAATGCTATACCCTGTGCTTGTTCTGGGAAGTCTAGGGAGGGGGGTGGGGGGAAACTGGAGGAGGAAAGGGTGGGTGGGTGGGCAAGGGGGGTGGGATGGGGTGAGGGTGGAGAGATGGGAGGCGGGGAGAAAATGTTTGTATCTTTTATAAAACTTTTCAATAAAAAAGAAAGAAAAAAGAAAACTTACTGAGAGAGACCACATTCCTATAGTTTTCAAACATGACTTCCGAATGCAGCGCTTTCTGGTCAGGATCCAGCAGAGACCATTCCTCCTCAGAGAAATACACAGCCACCTCCTCGAAGGACACGAGACTCTCCTGAACACGGAAAAAAGAACAGAACAGGAGGATTCGCAAGATCTGTTCATCATCATCAATGATTTAAACAAGGGAGTTGAAGAGAAACTCATCAAATTTGCAGAAAATACCAAATTGACAGGAATACCAACACTGCACAAAATAGGCTTGAGATATAGAAGGATTGACAGATTGGCACCTTCTAACCAAATGAACTTCAATGGTGAGAAATGTAATGTGCTACATTTAGGAAAGAAAAACCAAATGCACTGCCATAGAATAGGTGATGCCTGGCTCAAAAGTAGTTAAGTGGAACAGGGATCTTGGAGTCCTAGTGGACAATTGCTTAAACATGAGCCAGCAGTGTGCTACAATTGCCAAAAAACACCCAATAGAATCATAGGTTACATTAAGAAAGGGATAGAATCAAGTATTAGTACCACTTTATAATGCCTTGGTAAGACCACACTTAGGAACTTTGCATCCGGTATTGGTTGCCATGATGTAAAAAAGATCTTGAGACTCTAGAAAGTGTGCAAGGAAGAGCAACCGAGATGATGAGGGGACTGGAGGCTAAAACATATGATGAATGGGTGCAGGAACTGGGCATGGCTAGTCTAATGAAGAGAAGGATCAGGGGAGACACGATAGCAGTGTTCGAATATTTGAAGGGCTGCCATAGAAAAGAATGGGGGCAAGTTATTTTCCAAAGCACCTGAAGGCCAGTCAAGGAATAATGGATGGAAACTGAACAAGGAGAGATTCAACCTAGAAATAAGGAGACATTTTCTGACAGTGAAAGCAATCAACCCATGGAACAGAAGTTTCCTTCAGAAGTGGAAGCTTCATCACTGGGAGCTTTCAAGAAGAGACTAGACTGCCAACTGTCAGAAATGGTGTTAGAGGGTTGGACTAAATGACCTACAAGGTCCCTTCCAACTCTGTTAATCTGTACCTTAGGAGGTTGATAAATTACAAAAAGAAAGGTGGTCCAGCAGTTCCTGCCACTGTGATACATTTATTCCTAATTCTTGAAGAATGTTAAAAGAACTGCTTCTTGTAAAGGCAAAGTTGAAGGAGCACCTAGCAGAACAAGATAACCAGAGGAAGCTATGCTGGCTGACAGCAACTTCAACCTGCTATTCTGATCTCCATGTTGTGGCAGGACACAAAAATAACCCAGTCCAAACAAGGGGGTGGGGGGAGTAGAAGCAGAGAGCATTCTGCATACCCAGTTCACTTCCTGAAGGCGAGAATACAGATCTAATAATTTTTCCCTTTCTTACTTGATTTAGAGGTTCAACCGCTGTTTGATCACCGTCATAAAAACCAGAAAATTTCATTCTTTGTTTCTCTGTAAGGAATAAATAATTTCAAAATAAATAATTAACAAAATATTTATTTTATTGATTTATTTTAGACAATTTATATGCCGCCTATTTGCATATGGCGACTCAAGGCAGCTTGCAAAATATTAAACCCATATTAAAATAAGAAAACTAATAAAAGGAGAATTACATAATACATTAAAATAATAAAATCACCCCCACCCCCTGCCCTGTCGAAAGCACCTCACAGGAGCCATTGTACGGGTTCCATCCCACTCTGGGTTCCCCAGGCCCCCTGGCAGAACCAGGTTTTCAGGGACTTCCGGAAGAGTGCTACTGTGGGAGGCCATTCTAATCTCTGGGAGGGATGATGTTCCAGAGAGGGAGCCGCAATGGAAAAGGCCCTTCTCCTGGGTCTCACGAGGTATGTCTTCCTAGGGCAGGGGTCTGCAACCTTAAACATTCAAAGAGCCATTTGGACCTGTTTCCCACAGAAAAGACCGGGAGCCACAAAAACCCTTCCTGTGCCTGGCTATTTCTTGAGTGGCCACAAAACTAGCATATCCAGTTGAATTAAACGTTCGGTTTTGTTCTGAAACTTTTCTTTTCTTGGATTTATCCATTGTTGGCCTACCGGAGGTTGAAAAGCTCAATAAATCGTGTGCTGGTGGGTGTCACACATTGGCAGTTGTGACACATATTTTGAGTGATAGGGAGCCACAGCAGAGGGGTGAAAGAGCCACATGTGGCTCCAGAGCCACAGGTTGCTGACCCCTGTCCTATGGGATGAGACCCACAACATTCCCTGCCTCCGCACTATGGTGGGTCGGGCAGATGTAACAGGTAAGAGACAGTTACAATGGTACATTCATTCTTTCTCTTGGAAATAAGTTCCTTAAATCTCAAAAAGTGATTGACACAAAAGAGAAGCCTTACAAATGTTTGTAATGTGGAACATGTTTTAGAACAAACAGATAATTTACTTTCCATGAAGGGATTCACTCTACGGAGAAGCTAAACAAATGCAGAGAGTCTGGTAACAAGTTCAGAAGACATAGTAATCTTATTTCCCATAAGAAGATCCACTCAGGGACTTCCGGTGGCTCCGCGTTCCCCGAATGGACGCTCCTTTAGGAGCTCCAGCCCCGTGATTCCGTTTGCCGCTAGAACAGCGAAAATCGGCTGTTCTAGTGGCTCGAAACTCTCCCCCAGGGAAAAAAGGGGAGAGAAGAGCAGAAGGGTCTAGGTAGAGCTCCCCTAGACCCCCAGGCTTTTTTTTAAGCCGGGGGTTTGCAGGGTGAGAGCTCCCTGAAAGCCCTTAAGTGCTCCGGATCCGGGACGATTTTGCTTTATGCAGAACAAGGAGATGAAACTCGAGTGATGTCAGCCGCCGTCAGAACGAAAGGTGAGTCTTCAATCATCAGGACTGATGAGGCGGGAGCTGGGTCAGAGAGCAACATTGGCATGGGGCACCAGCTGAGGGCATCAGCATGAGCCAGATTCTTGCCTGGCACGTACATGAGCGTGTAGTCCTAGGCAGATAAAAACACAGATCACCTGGTAAATCTCAGGGATAGGAATTGCAGAGTTTGACGGTCAGTTGCTAGTAGACCAAGCAGAGGCTTATGATCTTTCACTAATGTAAAAGGTCGACTATATAGGTAATGATGAAACCGCTTGACTCCATCTACCAATGCTAGAGCCTCCTTGTCTAGCTGTGAATAATTTTGCTCCGCTGAAGCCAAAGTCCGGGAGAAAAATGCAACGGGGGCTTCACGGCCATCAGGGAAACGGTGACTTAAGACCGCTCTCACCTCATACGGAGAAGCATCACATACTAGCACTAGGGATAGGGCCTTGCAGTAGTGAGCGAGGACAGAGTTTGAAACAAGTATATGTTTGACATTAGTAAATGCAGCGGCTGCAGTTAAATCCCAGTTCCAACGTGTCCCTCGGTTCAGCAACGATGCAAAGGTTCCGCAATAGATGCCTTGTGTGGTATGAAAATTGCATAAAAGTTTAAAAGGCCTAAGAAGGTTTGAAGTTCGGCCTTGTTGGTGGAAGCAAGGGCATGTAAAATAGCGTTCGTCTTAGACTCTGTAGGGTGTATACCCTTACCATCAATTAGGAAACCCAAGAACTCGATTTTGGAAGCAGCTACAATACATTTGCTTCGCTTAACTTTGAGCCCCCCTCTCTGGAATTTGGTTAGAACCGCTCTGAGTCTTTTAAGAAGTTTGGTGGTGCTGGTGGCTGACAACGGCTGGGCTAACTGCCACAGCTATAACTGAAACTGCTTAGAACTCTGCCTGACAGCTCTTATAAAGCCAGCTGTCATGCGGCTCAACCAATCACAACAGAACGTTACTTTAATCAATCAACGAACAGAATGTTACTTCCTACTTCAGCATACTTAATACATTGCACCCCTTTCCACCTGGATGGCGCATGCGTATTCTTGGAGGTATGCCAGTCGGCGCCGGCTTCTGATCGAACGTCTGATCGAAGATTTTGATCTGTATGCATATTGTGCCTTTTGGATCCAAACAAGACAAGGTAGAATCCAACAAAATGAAATTTAATGTGGAGAAAAGTAAGTTTTTACACCTGGGCAGGAAAAACAGATTACCTGAAACCTGGCTGGAAAATAGTAACTGTGAAGGGTCCTTGGAGTCGGAATGTATGATCAATTAAGCATGAATCACCTGTGTGCGGCAGAAGCCAAAAAAACGAATACAATCCTTGGTTGTATAAACAGAGGCATAGAATAAAAATCACATGAAGTATTAGTACCGCTCTATAAAGCCTTAGTAAGACCACACCTGGAATACCGCATCCTGTTTGGGTCATCACATTGCAAAAAAGATATTGAAACTTTGGAAAAAGTGCAAAGAAGAGCAGCTAAACTGATTAAAGGACGGAAGACTAAAACAAGAACAGTTATAGGAACTGGGCATGGCTAGTCTAGTGAAGAGACAGGGGAGACAGGATAGCAGTGTTCCAATATTTCAGGGGCTGCCACAGAGAGGAGGGGGACAAGCTATTTTCCAAGGCACCTGAAGGCCGGACAAGGAATAATGGATGGAAACTTATCAAGGAGCCTTGATAAGCCTTGAACTTATTTACGGGACCGCCTGCTACCACCAATAGCCTCCCACCGACCAGTACGCTCCCATAGAGAGGGGCTCCTCTGGGTGCCGTCGGCCAAACAATGTCGACTGGCGGCCCCCAGGGGTAGAGCCTTCTCTGTGGGGGCACCTACTATCTGGAACGAGCTCCCCCCGGAGATACGGAGGATTCCGGATCTGCGTACCTTCCGTCGCGCACTCAAAACTTTCCTATTTCATCAAGCTGGCCTGATCTAAGTCTTTCCCCTTTTTAAATGGAAATTTTAAATTTGGTTTTAAATTATTGGGGTTTTAAATTATTGGGGTTTTAAATTTGCCCAGCCAAATTATTTAATTCGTTTTATTCTATTTTAAATTTTGTATTTATATGTTTTTATTCTATGGCTGTTCACCGCCCTGAGTCCTTCGGGAGTAGGGCGGTATACAAATTCAATAAAAATAAATAAATTTAAAAAAAAAATTAAAAAAGGAGCGATTCTACCTAGAAATAAGGAGAAATTTTCTGACAGAACAATCAACCAATGGAAGAGCTTGCCTTCGGAATTTGTGGGGACTTCATTGCTGGTGGCTTTGAAGAAGAGATTGGACTGCCATTTGTTAGAAATGGTATAGGGTCTCCTGCTTTTGCGGGGGGTTGGAACAAGGTCCGTTCCAACTCTGTTAATCTAATATCTAATTTTCTCCCCAAACCACCAGAGGGCAAGATAAAGAACAATGGATGGAAACTAATCAAGGAGAGAATCAATCTGGAATTGTCTTACAGTAAGGACAATTCACCAGTGAAACAGTTTGCCTTCAGATTGCGTGGGTGCTTCCTCACTGGACATTTTTAAGAAGAGACTGGACAGTCACTTGTCTGAAATGATATAGGATCTCCTGCTTGATCAGGAGGCTGGACTAGAAGAGCTCCAAGTTCCCTTCCAGCTCTATTCTGATTTTGAATCCTCAGTCCTTTCTGGTGCTTTTTTGCGAAGTATGATTTTTTAAAAGAAAGATGAGTATCAATGGAGATTAAGGTTATCATTTGCCTTCAAAGTGATGTGTGGATGCCAATATTTAAGTGGTGCAGATTCCTTAATCATTTCAAGTAACTCCTTCTGATGAGTATATCTATTATAGCAACTGGGAACCAAGCAACTGGGAACCAAGTCAAGCTATTTTGTCTTCCAGAAAAACCCCCAATTCCTCAGCATGCCCCTTCGGGTGGACCTCAATCTCTCCCTTCCCCAATATGAGGAAGCTCACCTAAAGAGAGTCACTGGGCAATTATCTGTAGATGCAATTAGTGTGGAGAAGTATAAATAGGAGAAGGAATCGTATAGAAGAGAAGAGAGAGCAAAGTTAAGATAGATGGGTAATCAGAGGATCTTCAGTTACCTCCTGAGGTGTCCTGAGTTTGATCCTCCCAAGGGATCCTCCTGAAAAATAGCTCCGGAGGGGGATTTGGTGGGTTCTTCTTTCCCTCAGGATCTCTGATCTCCACAGTACAGCACTTCCAATAGGAGGAAGGAAGAAGCAGAATTAATGTACATCACACAACCTAAAGTGGATTCCTATGTTAGGAACGCCACCTCAAAGCCCCCAATATCCATCCCTGTGGTTGAATGAGAAAACAATGGAACAATGTCCTACAAGAATAGGTGGGATATCTCCACATATTATGAATGTCAGAGAAGTTTGGGAAGGAAGGATGAAGTATTCAAACAGATTCTCTATTGTCTTTGAACTCTTACCTGCAACTCAGCCTGCTCCTTCTGGTCTTCCGCTTGGCTCAGGAGGAAGCCTTCCACCAGGGCCACCGCCTGGGAGCTGGTCTCCCCTCCATATTCCCGCACCCAGCTCTCCATCTCTGGGGGCAGAAGAGCCAGGAACTGCTCCAGAACCACCAGGTCCAGCATCTGAGCTTTGGTGTGCTTTTCTGGTCTCAGCCATCGCCTGCAAAAGCCATGGAGGTGGCTGCAAAATCCTCGAGGACCCTCAGCCTCCTGGCATTGGGTGAAGTTCCAGGGCTGAACTTCTGAAGGGAGGAGGGTTTCCTCCTCCAGGATCTCCTGCCCAGTCCTTGTCCAGAGCTTCCCTCCCTTCCCAGGCTGAGCAGCTGAAGGGCCTTTTCCGCTTCCCTCCTTTCCAAAAGGTTGTGTCTCCATCCTTTCTCTGTCCTGCAGAGCAACTGCAAATGGCTCCAAGGACTCTGGTGGGTCTCCAGATGCCTTTTCCTTCACGGGACCATTTCTGGGGCTGCAGGACTGATCCCTCCAAGGGATTCCGCTCTTTTTCTTCTTCCCCCAAGAAATAAATTTTGGTTTGCAAAGACCACAAATGGCTTCCAGTTTCTGTATCTGAGATGGGAAGAAAAACAAATAGCAAGAATTAGAAAGTGGAATTCAGCCACTGAACCACCTTCTGAGCCTCCGCAAGGCTGACCCTCCCCACCCCCCACTCAGCCTCTTCGCATGGAGAGGGCAGCTGGGGAGCATGGGATCTGGGGTTGAAGCTGTAGGAGGGCCAGGCGGGGTTCTCTCCCTCCTCTGCCTCACTTTGCCTGGGAAGAGCCCCCAACTCACCCGAGCCACGTCTGGATCTTCCCCCGCCAGACTCTCTCGCAGCCTCGCAGCCTCCTGCGGAACCCCAAGGGTTAAGGAGAGCGAGTGCGGAGTCCTAGAGCGGCAAGCTTTCATGATGTCACTTCCTTCCACGCCACCCCTACAAAGCCGACCGTGACGCTCGCCCTCCAGTGGACCAATGGGGAAGGGCCGGGAGTTCCTTTCTCTTGGGGGAGGGCGCCCCCTGGTGGATTTGGCGCGAAGGGCCAGGATTGTAGAAAGGGCGGGAAAGAGGAGCGCCTCTGAGGGGAAGGGAGAGGGCAGGGATGATGGGTTTGGGAGTAGGAGGAAAGCCCCCTCTTAATGCCTGCCAGCCCAAGAAAAACTTTGTGGTTTTCAAAGGCGCCACTTTCTCCATCTTCCTCTCTTTCCTGTCCAGGAACCGTCTGTGGAGATGGAAAAAATCTCTCTGGAGGATTTAAAGTCGCTTCCCTCAAGAACAGCCGCCCTGAAGGCTCAGCAGAGATTGTGGGAGGCCTTAAAAGGGTCCAAATCTTGTCAGAAACAGCCAGGCGGTCAGAAGAGGAGGACCAGGAGCCTCTGTGGGAAAGACAGCTGGTATCTTGCGGTTGTTGAGAACTCCCGCCTGAAGGGGAGGCAGATGGGACACAGGCAGGAAGGCCACAATTCAGGAAAATGATTTTAATTTATTTCTTTTTTTATTTCTCTAATTCAATACATGCAGCTGCCCTTCCCAAACTATTCACTCAGCCTCTCGGTAAAGTGGGAAGGAGAAAGGGCAGGGACCCCTCTGGTCTCTTCTGATGAAAGAAAAGGAAGATCCTGAAAAAGGAATAGAAAGCTAAACTATGAGGAGGAAAAACCATTTTTACATAGGGATTGAGTAGGAAATTCACCTCAAGAAATGTGACTAGGAAGCTTAAGCCCCTTGCAGAATTGAATGCAGGGATATGCCCAAGATGGCGCATGCCCAAGATGGCGACGGCTGCCGAGATCGCGGCTTGAGGATGAGGGACTGACCTACCCTTTGGGGTCTTTGGGGGTCGTTGTGAAGATCTACGACCCCAGGCCCGGTTAGGAGAACTCTCTGCCCACACGGAGAGGGTTTTTTTTCCCCTCCGGATATTGAGGCTGGGCAGAGAGAGAGAGAGCGGGCGATGTCGGGAGCAGCGGACTGCTTCAGCTGGGCGTCGGCAGCGTCTCCTCCAGCTGGAGTCCACGTGGGCGTCGGAATCGGCGTGGCGGCGTTTTTTGCCTGGGGTGCTGCGGTACGGCGATTTCCCAGGCTGAGGGGTTGCCCGGAGTGCTATGGGAGTTGCCGGATTTCCCAGGAGATCTTTGGGACGCTGCCAGACCCTTTTGGGCGCTACGGCAGCGACGGCGGCGATGGCATGACGACGGCAGCTGTGATGGCAGCCCAGAGGGTCTGGCAGGGAGGAGACACCCCCCCCCCCGGAAGTTGGGGATGGGGGGGGCAACGAGGCCGGGAGATCATCTGCCTTTTGGGTTGGGCAAGGACTTGGCATGAGACGCTTTCAGATCTTGGGATGCCTCCATTGTTATGTGGGGGCTGGGGGGGGGCTAGAGATAACTGCCCCTGTTTCCCCCCAATGCTTCTCTACCAAGACTATGCCCACCTTGGATTGTCGGCTAGCTCACTGACTCACCTGACGCCAAGTTTATTTTCATCTGAACTTTCCCTAACTGTGGGGAGGACTATTTAAATCTGAATGGGGGCTGGTACATGGCTCCATCCCATCAGCTGAGAGGGCTGGGCTCAGTTAAACCACCGTGAGAGGGTGGCTCTGATGTCGGGGCCCCTGGGGGCTGAACTGGGATGATATTGAATTCTTGCATCTGCCAGCAGAGGGGACCTGACCATCGGACCAACCGCCGTGAGAGGGCGGTTTTTGGACCTGAGCCCCGGATGCTGTGCTGTCTGCATTGGTTCATCGCTGCCATCTCACCACAAGAGGGGGTCGAATGGTTGATCGGACCTCCGTGAGAGGGTGGTTGGGTCTTCCCCCTTCCCCCCCTTGGACTGTGGTCGACCTGGAACTTGACTTCATCCTCTGTTGTGAGGGGACAGTGGACCGGTCCTGTTGAAAATGTTTTTGAGACTCCCATTCCATGTCTCTCCCCTGGACCTTCTATATGGACCCCTAGGATATGGTTGCTCCCATCCTCTGTGGTCAAGATGTATTCCGCAGCGGAGCTTCTTGGTCTGCGAGACTCCCCCCTCTCGCAGGCTTGGCCCTCCACTCTATCGAGGGCCTACCTCGATGACGGGCTTTGGAACCCCGAGAGGTGGCATGCCGCAAAGAGGGGGTTGTGGGGTTTTTTAAAATTGTCTTTTTATAATCTTTTAAGGGGCTTAGGGCGGGGGGTGGGGAGGGAGGGGCATAGGTCAGGCCCGTTACAGGGGCATGGAACGGAAGGCGGGGAGCGGGGTGTGGAGGAGCTCAGTGTGGATAGGGTGGAGGGCAGTTCTATCAGGACCGTGGTTGGGAGGGGCAGATATGGCGGGAGTAGGGGGCCACATCAGGTGGTGGGGGCACGCACCCGCTATCTCCAAGCGGTGGCATGCCTCGGCCCCCATGACTCTTCTCGTTTCCCCGGCTGTCCAGAGTCTCAGAGCCCAGGCCTTAGACTGATGTTGTGCAACGCCAGGTCCGTGGTTAATAAGGCCCCCCTCATTTGTGAGCTAATACAGGAGGGGGGTGCGGACCTGGCAGGTATTACGGAGACCTGGTTGGGCCAAGAGGGGGGGGTCCCCCTCGTAGAGATGTGCCCACCAGGTTTCCGCGCATTCCATCAGCCAAGGGCCCAGGGCAGGGGTGGGGGGGTGGCGGTCGTTATAAAGGAAGGTCTTGATCCGAGGGAGGCCACTGTACCTCAGATAGCCGGATGTGAGTCTCTCCTGGTGAAGTGGGGCCATGGGATGCAGGTGGGCCTGCTGATCGCGTACCTGGCTCCCTGCCACGTGACAGCGGCCCTGCCCGAGCTTCTCAACGTTATTGCCGGGGTGGCGGTTGATACCCCCAGACTTTTGGTCATGGGGGATTTCAACCTGCCATCTACCGGTGGGGCGTCTGGGATGGCTCGGGAGTTTATGGCTTCCATGACAGCCATGGACCTGACACAATTAATTCATGGCCCCACTCACGCGGGAGGACACACTCTGGACTTGGTTTTTATCTCTGGTCAGTGGCGGAGTGGTCTGGATATAGGGGATATAGTTATTGAACCCCTGTCATGGTCGGACCATTCTCTCCTGAGACTGGACCTTTCGACCGCTGCACCCCACTGCAGGGAGGCGGAACCAACCAGGTGGTTCCGCCCCAGGCGCCTGATGGATCCTGATAGGTTCCAGAGGGAGCTTGGGCCAGTTCCTGAAACTCTGGCACACGACTCGGCTGAAGATCTGGTGGCTGCCTGGGATAGGACAGCCGCCGGTGCTCTGGACCGAGTCGTGCCTTTGCGGCCTCTGACCCGACGCCGAACCTGCCCGGCCCCTTGGTTTTCCGAGGAGCTGAGGGAGATGAAGCGCCGGAAAAGATGCCTAGAGAGTGGTTGGAGGGCGAGTCGCTCCGAATCCGACCGAACACTAGTTAGGTCTCATATTAAGACCTATCTAGTGGCGATAAAAGCGGCAAAGCGTAACCACTTTTCCGCTCTTATTGCATCGGCAGATAACCGCCCAGCCGCCTTGTTTAGGGTGACCCGCTCCCTCCTACATCAGGGAGCACGGGAGGACCCCTTGCAAGGGCAGGCTGAGGATTTTGCACAGTATCTGCACGATAAAATCGCTCAGATTCGGGAAGGCTTGGACTCTGACTGGGTAGATCCCGGCGGGGTGACTGAGGCTGGTCTTGAGAATGTTACCTGGGATGAGTTCGACCCTGTGACTCCTGAGGACGTGGACAGGATCCTGGGGAGATTAAACGCAACCACATGTTTATTGGACCCGTGCCCCTCCTGGCTGGTACTGGCCACCCGGGAGGTAACACGAGGCTGGCTCCAGAGGATCATAAATGCTTCTCTGAGAGAGGGTTTCTTGCCTCCCGCCTTGAAAGAGGCGGTGGTGAGGCCCCTCCTCAAGAAGCCTTCTCTGGACCCGGCCGTTTTGGCAAACTATCGTCCGGTCTCCAACCTTCGCTTTGTTGCGAAGGTTGTGGAGAGTGTGGTTGCGCGCCAGCTCCCACAGTTCCTGGATGAAACCGTCTATCTAGATCCGTGCCAGTCCGGCTTCAGGCCTGGGTACAGCACGGAGACGGCATTGGTCGCATTGGTGGATGATCTCTGGAGGGCTCGGGACAGGGGTTGTTCCTCTGTTCTGGTCCTGTTAGACCTCTCAGCGGCTTTTGATACCATCGACCATGGTATCATGCTGCGCCGGCTGGAGGGACTGGGGGTGGGAGGCACCGTGTTGCGGTGGTTCTCCTCCTATCTCTCTGACCGGTCGCAGTCTGTGTTGGCAGGGGGGCAGAGGTCGACTTCGAGGCGCCTTGCTTGCGGGGTGCCGCAAGGGTCGGTCCTCTCGCCGCTCCTGTTCAACATTTATGTGAAGCCGCTGGGTGAGATCATCCGTGGTTTTGGGGTGCGATGCCATCTGTACGCTGATGACACTCAGCTGTACATTTCCACCCCAGACCACCCCAATGATGCCCTCGAAGTGATGTCCCAGTGTCTGGAGGCCGTGCGGGTCTGGATGGGGAGGAACAGGCTTCGGCTCAACCCTTCCAAGACCGAGTGGCTGTGGATGCCGGCGTCCCGGTATAGCCAGCTGGTGCCATCGCTGGCTATTGGGGGCGAGTCACTGACCCCCACAGAGGGGGCTCGCAACTTGGGCGTCCTCCTGGACACACGGCTGTCTTTAGAAGAGCATATGACGGCCGTGGCCAGGGGGGCTTTTTATCAGGTTCGCCTGATACGCCAGTTGCGCCCCTTTCTGGATCGGGACTCCTTGTGCACAGTCACTCATGCCTTGGTTACGTCACGCCTGGACTACTGTAACGCTCTCTACATGGGGCTCCCCCTGAGGAGCACCCGGAGGCTCCAGCTGGTGCAGAATGCGGCTGCGCGGGTGATTATGGGAGCGACGTGGCGCTCCCA